AAAAAAAAATTATTTTATTCACAACAGAGAGCACATGTGCACACATGCAGGTAAGAAAGAGAGAGAGAGAGGTACACCACTGTCAAGGTCTTGGTCACAGGGCAATCCCCTTTCTCCCGTCCTCCAGTATGTCATGATCTTGAGCACACGCCCAGCATGTTTTAGGTTGACTGAGCTAGGGATGAGCCAGGTCAGTCATCTGGCTTCCAGCACTGTAGCTCACTATAATACAGGTTGTGCCATGTAGGCTAGGCCAACGTTCTTTTAAATTAGAAACATGTTATGACAAACAACCAGATTTAGGGGTATTTAAAAATTACCAAACTAGCAGAGAAAAAACTGTCAACAAATAATTAAAATTTATGAATCACCATATAACTATTACATATACTAAAACATAATTATTCTCAGTTTTTCAATAATTTTTTTTGAAGAGTTTTTTGCTATAGGGCGTGTGCACTCGCCAGAAATACAGAGAGTAAGAAATCGCCCCCCGGGGGGAATGGCCACGACGACGCAATCCCTTCTCCTCCATTCTCCTCTCGGGATCTTGGGCACACACGCACACATGCCCAACTGAGTTTAAGCCACCGGGTCCAGGACTTGAACTGCAGTCGACTACATGGGAGTCCAGCAACATAGCCATTACGCCAACTGCTGGTCCCAGTCTTTCAATATTTTTATGTTTATGAATCAACAGTAACTGTGATTTTACTTACAGCATTTTCTAGGGTACTTGGAAGAGTTGTCCAATCAGGGTTATACAACATGCAGTAGTCCTTGGATGGTGAAGAAGTACCATTTCCAGATGCATGCAGGATTGCTTCCTGAGCAGCTGTCTAGAACACAAACAATTTTTTTTTTGAGAGAGAGAGAGAGAGAAATCGCCCCCTAGGGAGGATGGCTATGCCACAATCCCTTCTCCTTCATTCTCCTCTCTGGATTTTGGGCATGCATGCACATGCATCCAATGTGAGTTTCAAGCAACTGGGCCTGGGATTTGAACTGATATTTGACTGTATGGGACCTATTATACAAAATTAGTCATTCATACAAATCAACCTAAATTTCTAATAGGTACAGACATGCTATAATCCATGCTTTCCTGCCTAAAAAGTCCCTTGAACATTGTAGAATAGAGGGCTTTCTGCAATACTTGGGACTTTATTGGCTATGGATCTAAGCTAGTACAGGAAACTTTTAAAACATGCCATGAAATTACATAATTAGATGAGAAAATTAGACACGGAAAAGAGAAACCTAGTTTTCATTTCATTACTCTGGGCACTTCAAAAAGTTCATGGACAAATGAAATTAAGTCTATTTTAGTGACAACCTCCCCCCCTGAAATCCAAATATAGCTTTTCTATAGTATGTGTTCTCCATGAACTTTTTGAAGCTGCCTCATATTCTTGGTGGCTATTAATGGATTTTGAACAGAGCTGAACAATTTTTACTGTATTACAAATACTAGGTTATTTTCATATATTTATCTGATTCGACATTGTTTGTTTTAGATTTTTGTCACAGGGCACTCAAGCTTGACAGAGAGGGGGTGGGGGGGAGTGAGAAATCATCCCCCAGGGGAAATAGCCATACCTCAATCCCTTCTTCAAGATTTTGGACATGCATGCACACATACGTGACATGACTTTAGAGCCAGGTCTAGGACCTGAACTGCAGAGCTGGCTGTGCAGGATCCAGTGCCTTGAGCACCATACCACCTGCTGGCCCCTCAATTATTTTAAACTAGGGCTCTGAGACTTAGGGATATTACGAACAGAACTTCTCTAAGGCCATACAGTAGAATCATCTATGATTTTAACCACAGATCAGCATGAAGGTTGATTAGACATTTTCAGAAAGAATATTTTATAAGTGAATTGGGTACTTCCTACTGCATCCAACACAAAGGCGCCTAACACCAGGATTTCCCACCGAGTACATATACGACTGGGCAGTGCAGAGTTTAATCACCCTGTTAGTGTCGTAACTGCTGAGTTTCTCTACGATAAAGGTGCAGTCTTTCTCTGTATGACTGCTAAGTAACCCATCTGGAGCACTATCTGAAAAGCCCCAAAACCTCTCACCAGGGTTCTGGCCTCCGTGATAAATGTTTGCCTGAATTTAATTTTATATATTTCACTGGGAGATGCGAATGTTTTTGAATACTCTCATTCTGTCTACATTTATTATCTAGGATTCTTTTAGTAACTGCCAGTGGGCACATGCACTCACCAGACAGAAAAACAGAGAGAAGGAAATACTGCATCCCCCAGTGGGGTATAGTCACACCACAGGCCCTTCTCCACAGGATTTTATGCATGTATGCATAGATGCCTAGTGTGGTTTTCAAGCCACCAGGACTGGGATTCAAACTGTAGACCCAGTATTCTTTCTCTTTTTTTTTTTAAGAATTATTTAATTTTACTTATTATTATTTTTTAAAATTTGCTATAGAGAGAAACAGAGAGAGAGAGGGAAAGTGAGAAAGCAAGCTGCCAGCTCTGACTTGGTTTGCCATGTGGGAATCTGGCGCCTTAACCACCGCACCACCTGCTGTGTCTTCACTAGTATTCTTTTTTTTTTCTTTTTTTTAGAGAGGTTTTTGCTATAGGGTGCAAGCGCTTGCCAGGAAGACAGAGAGACAGAAAGTGAGAAATCACTTCCAAGGGGGGATGACTACACCGCAATCCCTTCTCCATTCTCTTCTCGGGATCCTGGGCATGCACCGCACGGACACACACCCGGCCTGAGTTTAAGCCACTGGGTCCGGGACTCGAACCGCAATCAACCACCATGCCACCTGCCAGCCCCCATATATTAAGCTCTTTAATAAATGGTAACTGTTAAAAAATAAATAAATAAATAAATGGCAACTGTTGGACCAGTGGGTGGCACATTGGTTAAGGCGCTGGATCCCACATGGCCAACTCCACATTTCAAGTCCTGGGCCTGGTGGCTTGAAAAGCATGCTGGGCAGATATGCATGCATGTCCCAAATCCCAAGAGGCAAATAGAGAAGGAATTGCTGCATGATCTCCCCTGCAGGGTGATTTCTCACTTTCCCTCTCTCACTGTCTGTGTTTCTCTGGTGAGCACAGTGCCCTATGGCAAAAATCTCAAATAAATAAAATAAATAAATAATGGTAACTGTTATTAATTATATATTCCGCACCCTGTCAAGTACTTGTGCAATGCAAAAAGATGAATGGTTGGAAGATTTGTGGTTGTTTTCAGCTTGGTGGGTTGTAGGCACACACACACACACACATATATGTTTATTTACTTCCTCCTTGAGCTTAAAAGAGAGAAACAGAGACATAGCACCCCTAACGTGGTCTTGACGCCACAATCCACCCCCGGCTGCAGCCAGCCCTAGATCATGGGCACACATGTGCGTCTGACTCAAGGAGGTCTCTGGATGTGACTCTGAAACTCCTCCACGTGGGTCCACCTTGTAAAGCACTGGTG